AATAAGTTAATATAGTACTAATACTAACTACTACTATAGTACAGTAGTAGTAATATACTTATTTGTGTGTGTGTGTGTGTATATATATATATATATATATATATATATATATATATATATAGTAGATATTTTTTAATGAATAAGTATTTAAACAAATAGTGGGTATTCCAATGGGATCTAATTTCTCCACAAACATGGCTAATCTCTATTTGTCCTTCTTTGAGATTTTATTTCTAGAACAAGTAATGAACCCTAACTTGTACAGTCACACCTTTCATTACATTGCTGATTTATTTCTAAAGTTTAATTCAAAACAAATATATCCAAAGGAACTTAATAGATAGAAGTAATAATAGTTATAATCATGCATACCACTTGGATTTAGATATTGTTTTCATGGAAGGCAGAGTGTAGTTAACTATTTTTGACAGAAGAAGGGATTTTAGTTTTTCATTTCTTGGTTTACCCACCCCAAATAGTGTAGTTCCTTTTATACCATCGAAAGGAATTATTTTTTCTCAATTAAAAAGATACTTGACAGTTTGTAAAAATATTAATTCCTTTATGGATGATGTTCAGTTATTAATAAATAAATTAAAAGATAATGGTTACAAAGACTAGCAATTAAAAAGTGTTTTATACTCGTTTCTAACAAATATGATAATATAATAAAAAGGTCATTCAAAATTTATAAATAATTAACTAATTTTTTTAGGTATGTGTTCAGTATACCTGGACAGAAAGATCAACTTCAAGCAGCTGGGCTTTTTTCAGCTCACTTGGTTTATATTTGAGCGCATTTTTTTTTAATGAAAGGAGAAGGATGGGAATTTAATTAATTATTACAGAACTATTAAGATAAGTTTGTTTTAGTTCATTTTAACACCTGAACACCATTTTGTAATAAGTATAAAAGTGTAGAGGTTGGGAGTCTTTCAAAAGTAGAAATAGGCTGGTTAATTTCTACTACAAGGTTATCTTTATATCTAAATATTAGGATGATTGCCTAATTTAGCATTTTGTAATATGTAATACTTATTGAAATGGGTGGAAGTTGGGAGTCTTAAAATTGTAGAATTCTATTGATAATTAAGATAATTAAAAATGACCAAAAATTAAATATATTGATGGCTAGAAGAATTAAGATTCCTAAAAATGTGTTAACGAGTATTCATTACATCAATTAATGTCATGTAACATAATCATCCTATGATTGAAACTGTGATTAAATCTGTTACTGTCATGAAAATAATCAACTCATCAAAATTAGTGTTTCTAATTATTACTATTTTGGATTATTCCAACTATCCAAGCCTCGTGAGAATAATTGATTAGTTGAATGTACTCAATTAATGAGCCTGATGATTGATTGATTAGCAAATTCCACAAATTATCCTGCTCTTATTGTGTTGTTAGTCACTACTATTTAAAAGTAATCAGAAGGCCCAATTATATGGGTTATTAAAGGATAAAACTCACCAAATTTCTACACTGACTGTTAAGATGATCAAAATTTAATATAACTGGGACATTCTTAAATAATGCAGGCCTGCGATGATTTTATTGTCTTGAAATTTTTACATGTTCTACAGTAATTCCAATATGCTGAATCTGAAAATGATATTGATTTTTCTCTATCACATACAGATTTTTCACAAAACGTCATATGTACTTTTACATAAGTGAATCATATTCATTGAAATTGGGTCACATTTTGTTATGCTTTAAATGTTGACAACCACTGGCTATAGATTTCTCTAGACCAAGAGAGAGTCTTATTGATCGTTTTAGAACCCAAACATAATAAAAAAATTTCATTGTGGTAAATGAAATAATAATTTGATCTAACAGTTGTTTTTTTTCTTCCTGATTTGTAAACAATCTTTATGTGATATAAAAAAATTAATATTATTTTCAAAATCTGCATAGCTGAATTATTGGAAATCTGTAATTAAATTCGCAGGCCTCTGTAATCAGAGCCTAAATCAGGGACCTTCTCTTTTTTGGAGGAAAATTATAAACAGTCAATTATACAAATAATAAGTAGAAAGATATTTTTACTTACCTTATTACTGCTATAGATACTTCTCTGATGAGTGATTATGTTTTTGAGCAACTTCTTCTTAGATAAGAATTTGTTGTGAAATTCAGAGCAACTTTTATGTTTACCTTTGAGTTTCACAGCATGTAATTAAAACATCTACTATTTGCATTTGTCTGTCTCTCTTTGTTTGGCTGGCACAAAATCACCATTTCAGTTATGTTTGCATTAGTGGTACCATGTAGTATGCTGCAGCCTGCCTTATAGCCAATTTCAGAAGCAGCAGCAAAGGCTATGCTGTGTCACTCCAAACTGTGTGATAATTTATGTACTCAGTTAAAATGATTTGTTTCTGTTGACTTAGGATTGTCAGAGACACAAAGAACTGAATACAAGTTTAAATAAATTACAGATCATCAACAGAAATTAAAACCAGAATAATCAGGCATTCCAAAAGATATGTTGGGACACCAGGACAATGTTTCCAAAACCAGGACTGTCCCAGGCAAATTGGAATGTCTGGTCACTGACACTGAATGATGTTTTCGTCTGTTTTATTAAGGAAAATGTATATAGTTTTGTTATATTTTCGTTACTGTTGCAATGTTTTCCCTTTTCTTATTCTTGTTACACTATGTAACACAATATTTAATTTTGGATTAAAAAAGCTTTTTTTTAAAGGTTTGTTTTATAAGTGCTATTTTCTGTTTACCATTTAATAAAGTTATGTATGTAGTGCAGGGTTTCCCAAACTTTCTCAGTACAAGATCTCCCAAGAACATTTTGTATCCTGATTGAAGATCCTTACTCAATTGATCTATAGATATTGAATGCCTTAACAGTATTGTGTATTTGCTATGGCCCTCCTGACACTTTCCTGTGACTCCAGATTAGGAAACTGTGATGTAGTGTGTTGTGTAAAAAAATTATTTTTTGTTCTTGAATTTTGTTGTAGAAGTTCAGTTAATGGACAAACATTTTGTCTAAGGAATATTTTCAGTTTATTATACATATCAGTAATACTAGAACTCAACCCTTTTTCTGTATTCTAAATCAGTTGTAAAACACTAATTACAAACATCTTGAAGAAGGTACATCTTTGTTTATTTGTATGAAGTTCAAATTGACAACTCTAAACAAACTTACATAGATAAGTAAACCCATAAGATGAATTGCATTCTTCCCTTACCCTCAGCCTTCACGTTAAAAATGTTTATAAAACCAAATTTTCTATAGAAATTCATAAACCCTTTTGGTCATGCTTTTGAAAGAGGATCATGAAAGTTAATTTTGTCTTTGTAGACACCTGACTTTTATGTGGAAATGAAATGGGAATTTACAAGCTGGGGTAAGAAAACTATTTTAAATAATTAATGATTTATTAATCTTAATTATTATGAGTTGTCCTGCTTTTAAGTAGTTCAGGGTTTATTAACCGTAACCATTATGAGTTGTTTTGTTTTAAATAATTCAGGATCTTTTAACCTTGACCATCATGAGTTATACTGTTTTAAGTAATTCAGGATTTATTAACATATAGAAACATATACTTACATTTCTGCACAACAAAGGGTTATTAAATAATTAATATTTGAAACCATAAGTTTCACAAATATTTCATTTCTTGAATGAAGCTTCCACCCTTACACACATTAATCTGTATTGCACCAGTCTATGATGTAAGCAGCATTAGACTATAGCCCTCCACCAGTAGCAGGGTGTCACATCCTTCATGCACAACAAGTTTCATGAGCACTAATTTTGGAACAAATGTTTTTTTCCTTGGCATTGCTTTGTTTAGATGTGTTTTTTCTTAATAATTATCAACATTTTTGAGCTTATTATTTTAAACTTTTTTTACCATTTGTAATGAATTTTACCTTTAATGAAACAAAAAAAAAGCAGATGCACCAGGTGTGAACTTGTTCTTTGCACCTGTCTAATGCCTGTTGTCTCTTTTTTGGTAACCCATTGCACATTGTGAGACCTTATGTACATGTGATGATTCCTGATAGATCCAAGCACCTCTCTAGCATTCTACCCCCTTGTGAATTCTTTCCTTCTTGGAGTGGAGGAACTCTCCAGTTCCAAGTTGCTGGGGAGATCATTGTTGACAGTTCCCCATTTGGTCAGTGTTATCTCATTCGTATGAGAATAAGTGGATGTACCCATTGATGGGAAGTAGTGCAGGGGTATTTATTCGATAATGATGTTCAAGTCACCCTACTACACTATGAACCAAGCCATTCTCAGAGGTTTGGTTAGCTGGATCTTTCTTGTGTTCACTTCAGATACATGTCTGGAATATTTTTTTCCAGCATCTGGTTATTCTGGTAGGTACTTCATGTAACTATTCCTTTAATATGGAATGGCCTGACTTATTGCCCTACTGAGAGATAATAGGTGATTGAGCAATCTTATATTCACCCATCTGTGAAGGTTATTTGACAATATTTTTTGCTATGTCACCTTTATTAGGCAAAGAGAACTTCCTGCATGAAAAAGATGTGGTCTCCCACTGAGTTATGCTCCACTAGGCTACCCTTTCCCTAATAAGTGATATGCTCCATAGATTATCCCTTTCTGACACTATGATTTCAGAAACAAGCTCATATTTGTAGTTTCTTTTAGTTCTATCAGCTCCTTCACCATCTTATCAATGCAGGATGCAAGCTCTTTCTTGTGCAGAGAAGGGAGTAAATGTTTCTGAAAAAACATTTTCCTTACATGAAAAAAGGTTTCAGATTGATGCACACCTCTCTGTACAACTTCTCATCTTCTGCCCCACTTCTAGTGTCTTTCTTTTGCTTTTCAAGAAAGAGCATTTTTTTCAGTGCTAGTGCTCATGGAGATTATTGTGCATGGAGGATGTGTCACTCTCCTATTGGTGAGCTGTAGTCTATTGATGATTACGTAATAGGCTGGTACTGCATATTTTAATATGCTTACAGATGACAGCTTCATTCAAAGCTTGAGATGTGTGCAAGAACTTCACAATAGGAGTTTGAGGTAATAGCTCTTTGTTGTGAAGAGAGGTGAGTGTTGATATGAAATACACTTTCAGGTAAGAAAAATGTTAGGTTTTACACTGATGAAGGGTGAACAGATATTTTTAGAGAGATCAAGTGTAAACAGATACACTTAGGGAGATACTTTTAAGAGGTGAAAAGTGAATAAATGCTTTTAGAGAGAAGTAGTATGAACAGATGTTTTTCCAACAATGAAGTAAAAACAAATACTTTTAGAGATATTTTTACAGTGATGGAGTTTGAGCAGACACTTTTACAAAAATTAAGTATGAACAGTTACTTTTACAAAGGTGAAGTTTGAATAGATACATTTAAAGAGGGGAAATGTGAACTGTTACTTTTATGAAGATGAATAGATTCTTTTATGTAGATTGAGCTTAGATGTTTCTTTGGAGTTTATTGTATATATATATGTGTTTGAACTGATTTTCACAATGTTTATATTTACATTTTCGAATAAATTGGAGTGTTGATTTATGAAGGTTATATCTTGTAATCAATCAAAATATTTTACTTAAAGTACTGAAAAGATCTTTTGAAAACTTGTGATTTTACCTACAACATGAATACATATGTAAGTAATAGCACTGAATTCAAAGCTAAACATCACCACTGTAGTAATAACTATTGATTTAATTAGTTTTAGTGTTTTCTTCTAGTTCCCCTGGTGTCCAGAATGTGCCCGAGTGATACTTATAAAGTTTATAAAAGTGGTAAGAGCACTGAGATCTTAAGCTTATTGATAAAGTATTATCCACAAAATTTCTGCATATATACTTCACACCATTATGTCTTAAGTGTAGTGATAAAGTATGTATTATCTACTAAACAAACTTTATACAACTTATATTAAGTTTATGATAAATATCTCCAGGAGAGTAACATACAGAATACTGAATGTTACACAAACTATACTTCATTATAAATTATTGTGTTTATGGTCAATGTTATCAGGAGAGTAACCTACCAAATACTGAATGTTAAACAAAACCAAGCTTCATTGTAAATTATTGTGTTTATGGTCAATGTTATCAGGAGAACTTATTGAAGTCTGAATGTTATACAAACTATACGTCATTATAACTTACACCAACTGTATAATACCAAGTGAAGCCGACTGTATAGTGACTTTTGTCACACCTTATACTTGTTTAGGATACATTTGCATGTATATATACATACTAAACATACAACAGATGCATTTCTACGTGGTGTATGTGTGTAGTGTTCAGACATGTTCATAAACCAAACTCCATTATAAATTATATTGAGCTTACAGTCAATGTAAACAGGAGAGTAACCTACTGAAGGCTGAATGTTAAATAACATTCAGCCTTCAGTAGGTTACTCTCCTGTTTACATTGACTGTAAGCTCAATATAATTTATAATGGAGTTTGGTTTGTATAACATTCAGCTTTCAGTAGGTTACTCTCCTGTTAACATTGACTGTAAGACTCAATATAATTTATAATGGAGTTTGGTTTATATAACATTCAGCCTTCAGTAGGTTACTCTCCTGTTTACATTGACCGTAAGCTCAATATAATTTATAACGGAGTTTGGTTTATATAACATTCAGCCTTCAGTAGGTTACTCTCCAGTTAACATTGACTGTAAGCTCAATATAATTTATAATGGAGTTTGGTTTGCATAAAATTCATCTTCAGCAGGTTATTCTTCCTATTATGTTGATCATAATCTTAATAAAACATATAATAATGTTTATTTGTATAATATTCAGCCTTCCGTAGGTTACAATCTTGTTGATGTTGACCATAAAATCAGTATAACTTATAATCTACTTTGGTCTGTATAATATTCAGAGATCAGTAGGTTAATCTCCCTGTTAATGTTAACTGTAAATTCAGTTTTAAGTTACAATGAAATTTGATTTCTTTAGCATTCAATGTTTAGTAGTTTACTCTTCTATTTACTTTGATCAGAAACTCGCTATAACTTATAATGAAGTTTGGTTTGTATAACATTCAGTCTTCAGTAGCTTACTCTCATGTTAATATTTTACCATAAACTCAATATAGTTTTTAAAATACAGTTTCATTTTTATGATATTCAGTTTTCTGTAGTTGGTTACTCTCACTGTTAACATTGACAGTAAACTCAATATAACTTATCATTAAAGTTGGGTTGTATAACATTCAATCTTCAATAGGTTATGCTTCTGTTAATATTCACTGTGATCTCATTGTAACCTTTAATGTAATTTGGTTTGTATGCTATTCTACTGTTAATATTGATCATAAACTCAATGAAACTTGAAATGTAATTCCAATATGGTACTTCCCTCATCTCACAAGAGAATTCTCATCCAGTGCTGCCCTCTATATGCAAATTCTTTCTTTATGCATGCCACAAGCCTTCTGCTCCCCCATATTGGAATCGAATGATTTGAACATGTCTCTCATGTAAATCATCATGTGTCACTTCACCACCAATATTAGTGTGACATATGTGATGCACGTGACTCCCTCTATATGCCTCTACTGAACTATCACTTCTCCTTTGGCAGTACTTGTGCCCGGACATGCTTCTTTTTGTTTGTTTTAAGTTTCACGTTTGTCTTTTGTATAGTCACGAAGTGTTCTTCATTTATTTTTACTTCTAGTTTCTATTAAAAGTGTTTCTTAACTTCACTTTAATCCCAGTTTATTACAGTCACATCGTTATTCATACTATTGATTCTTGGCTGACTCTTCCTCATTATGAATTCTGAAGTTCATGTTATCACTTTGGTGTCACACCTGCGGCTAGTGCTATGTCTCAGGCCTCAGGTGCAGGCGACCCAGCAGAGGATTTATCTGTGTTTATTTGCTGGTAGATTGAACGTTACATGGGTCAACCTCTGTCTCCAGACTTTGCCCCACTTCTTCCGGAAGAAGCTGAGCCTGTTTAGGTGGATGAGGACTTGGATCGTCTATTTACACCAGATTTTCACATGCCTTCCCATGCCCCGCCTGAGGGGTCAGTTAGGCCTATTAGTCTTTTTGGATTTCACTTCTCAGGTATGTGACATTTTATCCCTTTTCCCTATTTTGTATGAGCTGAATCCTTCCTTATTATATGACCAATCTTCCCATTCTTATTTGGTTTCCCCCCTCCCTCCCTGGATATTCGGGTACATGCTGACCAATTTGCCTCACAATTGTGTGACAGGATTAGTATGCCTTGCATCACATGGGCTTCAGATCAGTTTACTTTTCCTTATAATTGTGCGGACCACCCTTTTTTGAACGAAAATTGTTAGGTTCCATTTTGCCTGTTTGGGGTATGGCCCCTGAATCTCCTGTAAGTCTGGCCCATGCCCAATTTTCCCACCTTCATCTTACTTTCCGAACTCTTTTATGATATCTCTCTACCATCCATCTCCTCTCTGAGGCTCTCCACCTAAGTCCTGAAAGGTTTTTCTGGGAACATCCTCTCCCCTCGTTCCTCCATGTTGGCTCATTTTTCATCTTTGGCTCTGGCTTTAGATATGTAGTTTCTCTGTTGTTTGTATATTCTAGGTTGTGATGTGACCTTAACTTGCATCCATTTACCATCAACTTATCTTCGTGATTTATGTATGGCCCCATTTCTGTGGCAATGTATCTTGGACACAATCCCTGAGTCTTTGGAATCACAAGTTGCATCAGTACAACAACAGTCTACCCTTTATAACCTTGTTACTCGTTTGTCTCAGTCGGAGCCCAATATGGCACCTGTTACCATTTCCCATCCCTCCCTTTCTCAACCCTTACCTGTTCCTTCTTCTCGGGGTGCCTTGTCTCGTTATTTTCATCGACGATGCTCGTCACGTCACCAACAATATTGGTGACTATCTGGTGGGTTCTGGTCTGATGGGAGTTTGGTTTGTCAATTTTTTTTTTCAAGGATCATTGGGTGCTTTACGTTTTATCAGAATCATTCATGATCCCATTTTTTTCCCCACCTCCCATGTCTTTTATACCTGTTTCCTTCTCTTTGCCTTGGGATCCCATGACCAGTCAGTGTCTGTTGGAGGCAGGTCAGTAGCTACTATCTCAGCAGGCCATCAAACCTGTTTTACATCCTTCATCAAGTTTTTATTCCAGACTCTTTGTTGTTCCCCAAAAACCTGGGGAATGGAGGCCTGTCATCAATTTGTTTCACCTCAATCACTTCGTTCAACTGCCCTGTTTTACCATGGAGTCATTTCTCACCATATGGTGGGCATTTTCTCTAGGCTTATAGATGACCAAGATGGACGTCACCAATGCTCACCTCCACATCCCTATATCACCACAATCTCATCCATAATTTCGGTTCATCCATCACAGGGTGGCTTATCAATTTTGCACCCTACCTTTTGGGCTTGCTTTTGCCCCTTATGTTTTCTGTCGGGTGGTCAGAAGTTTTGCTTGCCATCTTCATGTTCAGGGGTTGTGATTTCACCATTATATGAATGATTGGCTTCTGCTGGCTCATTCTGAACTGGAGTTGGCCCGCCATGCTCGTCAGCTCATTCTTGTGGCTGCTTGGATGGGCTGGTTAATAAAATTGGATAAGTCCTTCCTTTGGCTTACCCAATATCTCATCCACTTAGGTTTCTTTTTTGACACTCATTTCAGTCAGGCCCAACCTTCTCCTCTATGACTTCAATCCATGGAACTGTTAGTTCCCCAGCATTTTCAGCTCCCTCACTTTCTGCTCATGAGGTCCTATCACTTTTGGGAATGTGATCTTCAGTAATGTCACTGGTTCCCCTCAGTCATGCGCATATGCGCTCCCTTCAGTGGGCTCTTCATAATCAATGTAATCTTATTCGGGATCCCATGTCAGCTCTCATTACCCTTTCTCCTACCCTGATAGACAATCTACATTAGTGGTTGGACAAGGCCCATATGTCAGCAGGCATTCCACTTCCTCTTCTTTGTCTGGATTTATATCCTTTCATAGCTGCATCCCTCCAGGGCTGGAGGAGCATGGGTCAAACCAGGAGGATTTGGGTCATTGATCTGTAGACAAAATATTTTTGCATATCAATGTCCTCGAGTTTCTCATGGTTTGTTGGGCTTTGAATCACTGCCTTCCTGTCGCCAGTCATTGTCTGGTGATGATTCATTCTGACAATTCTACAGTTGTAACACATCAATCACCAGGGGGTCAAGATCTGGTTTCGAATGTTGTATCTACTATATTGGGCCCACATGCACCACATTCATCTCTTTGCATGTCACTTTCAGGATGCTTTCAATCTCCTAGAGTATTGTCTTTCCTGCCCGACCAAATATATCTGATGGAGTGGTCTTTAGATCTCTTAATTTTCTAGTTGCTTTTCAATTGGTGGGGTCTCCACCATGTAGATGCATTTACCATATACCTCAATCACAAGTTACCCCTCTTTTGGTATTTCCTTCTTCTCTTAGCTTGTAGACGTCAAAGGTCTGATATGTTTGCCATTGATGTTTTATGTAAGCTTTACAATCCTACTTATCTTCTCCTTTATCCAGATCATTCCTTCCTCCAAAAAACCTTGGTGGCTAAGGAATGTAACTCCTCCTTTTTTGCCTATTTCCCTTCCTTCTATTTCTCACATCTACCCTTGTCCCGATCTGGATAAGACTTCTTATGCAGGTCTGTTCTCTTTGTTGTTATATTGCCCACATGATGTCCTTCCATTGTTCCCGACTCTTTATCCATTGGCAATCTTCCTCTGTTCAGGATCGTTCCTCTTCT